TGGAATATTTCCACCAATCAGAAAGCTAGGATTGGTAGTAACAGGTTGAAACTGTAACTGTATTATGTTTAGCCTAAAATCCTGACAGAGATATTTTATCATGGACTTATACGGAGAAGTCCAGGACTTCAAAAAATGTAGGTAAGAATTGCAGGATGGTTTATCATTTACTATAATTTTGAATATTTGCAGATTCTCAAATTAAAGATAATTATAGATCACTTTAGTCTTAGACTGATTCTCTGAACGCCTACGTCTTAAAAACAGGAAACATCTTTCAAAATAATTATCGTCCATTTCAGGAAATGTATTTCATAATAGTTATAGTCTTTATCAGGAAACATCTTTAAGAATAATTATAGTCTATTTCAGGAAATGTATTTCATAATAGTTATAGTCTCTATCAGGAAACATCTTTCAGAATAATTACAGTCTATTTCAGGAAATGTATTTCATAATAATTATAATCTTTATCAGGAAACATATTTCAGAATAATTATAGTCTATTTCAGGAAATGTATTTCATAATAATTATAGTCTTTATCAGGAAACATCTTTCATAATAACTGTAGTTCATTTCCTTAAAGTTAGTTTGATTTCTCACTGTAACAGGTGTGATGACTCTTTTAAAGTAAAAACCTAATGGAAACCTAATTTATTATGTGTGATTGCATGTTCACATTTAAATCAAGATATATTTGTTTTACTCAAAATGTCTTTATTTTGGTTTTCAGTGTTTAGATATTTTGTTATATATTATTTCAATCAATCTTTAAGTATACAGTATATAAACATGATAAGAAGTAAGTTATATTTGTTTACCAGTAAACAAACACAAAAGGTGATGTTATCATGTTATATTGTTTGCCTCAATATTATTTATATTAATCATTGTTGTCATGTCAGCTAATAATTATTAAAGTGTTTCCTCATTTATTTACTGTCTGCCATCTTAACCAGACAAACTGGATACCTGATAGGAAAAGTTTGGACCGCACAAGATCCCATGCTGCAAAAATTTGCATAAAGATAGATTCAAATTTCCTGTAACTAACAAAGATAATTTTCCTAATTTTGAAATGTGGATCTTATTAATTTCCTTTGTTCATTAGAATTAAAGCATTTTTTGGTTAATGAAGTAATATGCCTCGATCAGACCTGTCCTGAGTAGGAAGGCATGTTGTTGTGAGCCTCGCTCTGGCATTGACCCTGTAATCAATATATTGTAGTGACAACACAACAAAACTCAAAATTTCAAAGTTCAAAACACAAAAATATCGAAATCCAATCTAATGTGACATACCTGTTGAGGCTGAAAATTTTACAATTTAGAAATGAAAGTGTGATGTTATATAAAGGCCTTACTGTGTCTTGGAAGAAAATCAAACATATTGCTTTTTAATTTAATACAACATTCCCTCATGATGATTTTTATCTATCAAAATGTCTTTTGACTATAAAATTGTTAACCAGCATTGATTTTACAGATCTGTGAAATTTTCTAAGCTAATTGCATAGGGTTTAAGAGTTGTCTTTAGTATGAAGTTGTCTATATAGAGAAAATGCGTCCACAGTTCAGACGTTAGCACAGGATATCAATTCTTTAATCTTTATCTAATACCAAATAAATCTACCAAAAGTATGATTTCTTAATTCTCAGTTTTTATGCATTAAGATATCCCCTCCTGAAAGCTGTGATAACAGGTATTTTTGAGTGTCAGTTGGCAGGGTGTGAATTTTTCACTATGGGGTTTATAGGCATAGCCACAGCGAGCTAAAGACTTAAGTGCTGCAATCAGAAAGTCTGTGATATGAAGGTATAGAATCTCAATTACATACAAACTATTATCCAGTCTACATACTGAAGGTAAGACATTAAAACAGGGCATAACAATGTAACATAAATAATGTAGTCCATTGAAAATAACAGACCATAATAACTTCACAACTTTCCTTAAAATAAAGTTTAAAATCTGTACCGTCTATAACAATTTACTGTTGAAATGAATTTCAATGTCTGCTAGTAAAAGCTGGATTGTATCATTACCCTAACCAAGCTTTAAGCAACATAGGCCTGGTGTCTACCTGTCACTGAACTCTGTCACCCTTCACCAGGTGTCTACCTGTCACTCAACTCTGTCACCAAGTATGTATCTGTTACCCTACGTCAAGTATCTATTTGTCAATATACACCAGGTGTCTTCTTCCACACTACACCAGGTGTCTTCCTGTCACCCTACACCAGGTGTCTACCTGTCACCCTATACCACTTGTCTACCTGTCACCCTACATCACGCGCCTATCTGTCACCCTACAAAAGGTGTCTACCTGTCACCTTACACCAGGTGTCTACCTTCCACCCTACACCAGGTGTCTACCTGCCACCCTACACAAGGTGTCTACCTGTCACCTTACACCAGGTGTCTACCTGTCATCCTATACAAGGTGTCTGCCTGTCACCCTACACCAGGTGACTACCTGTCACCCTACACCACTTGTCCACCTGTCACCCTACACAAGGTGTCTACCTGTCACCTTACACCAGGTGTCTACCTGTCACCTTACACTAGGTGTCTACCTGTCACCCTACACCAGGTGTCTACCTGCCACCCTACACAAGGTTTCTACCTGTCACCTTACACCAGGTGTCTATCTGCCACCCTACACAAGGTGTTTACCTGTCACCTTACACCAGGTGTCTACCTGTCACCCTACACCAGGTGTCTGCCTGTCACCCTACACAAGGTGTCTGCCTGTCACCCTACACCAGGTGACTACCTGTCACCCTACACCACTTGTCCACCTGTCACCCTACACAAGGTGTCTACCTGTCACCTTACACAAGGTTTCTACCTGTCACCTTACACCAGGTGTCTACCTGCCACCCTACACAAGGTGTTTACCTGTCACCTTACACCAGGTGTCTACCTGTTACCCTACACCAGGTGTCTACCTGTCACCCTACACAAGGTATCTACCTGTCACCTTACACCAGGTGTCTACCTGCCACCCTACACCACGTGCCTACCTGTCACCCTACACAAGATGTCTACCTGTCACCTTACTCCAGGTGTCTACCTGCCACCCTACACCACATGTCTACCTGTCACCCTACACAAGGTGTCTACCTGTCACCTTACACCAGGTGTCTACCTGCCACCCTACACAAGGTGTCTACCTGTCACCTTACACCAGGTGTCTACCTGCCACCCTACACCAGGTGTCTACCTGCCACCCTACACCAGGTGTCTACCTGTCACCCTACACAAGGTGTCTATACCTTTAACCCTAGACTATTATCATTGAACACAAGCTAGACAAGGTTTACATACCCGCTACCTTAGACAAGCTTAAGACATGTAATATAGAGAGGCCAGTCGACACATCAGACCATTCATCAGACTCAATTAATCACAAATCATTATACCAACAGTTAAAATCAGCTCACTTCTGTAAAAATTTCCATAATTTTGGTGATTATATGTTGACGAGAATAATTTTCTTTATTTTTATTATCAAATACAGATTTAAATTGATGATTCTTTTAAAATTATTTCTATAAAAACACAAACTCAGATGTATCATAATACAGTATATTTATCTAATGTAAACAATGTGTTTGGTATCGTTATCTCGGCTGAATGGTCATGCTGTGCCGCGGCAGTGAACAGCATTTAATCTTGGACAGTAGAGTACCAAGATGCCACACAGATTAACATGCAACAATACCTATCGTACAACTTTCATAATATATTTCAAACTAAATATACAAGTTCTCAAGCTAATTGCACGATTAATAAATCTTTGACCAAAATAGAGCTATCCACGATTTCTGTGTTTCAAATAAAACTGTGTGGGTCTCCAAAACTCTTGTGATTTTCATCTTCAAATTATATTCAAATGACATTTTTGAGGAATTTTAGATAAAAACAAAAACAGATGTTACATTGCTAGTATCTGTAGATGGAATATATTGGACCTTAAAGTCTGGACAGTAACGGTCACTATGATGACCTAAAGTCTGGACAGTAATGGTCACTATGATGACCTAAAGTCTGGACAGTAATGGTCACTATGACGACCAAAAATCTGGACAGTAACGGTCACTATGACAACCTAAAATCTGGACAGTAACGGTCACTATGATGACCTAAAATCTGGACAGTAACGGTCACTATGACGACCTAAAATCTGGACAGTAACGGTCACTATGATGACCTAAAATCTGGACAGTAACGGACACTATGATGACCTGAAGTCTGGACAGTAACGGTCACTATGATGACCTAAAATCTGGACAGTAACAGTCACTATGATGACCTAAAATCTGGACAGTAACGGTAACTATGACGACCTGAAGTCTGGACAGTAATGGTCACTATGATGACCTAAAGTCTGGACAAAAACAGTCACTATGATGACCTAAATTCTGCACAGTAACTGTCACTATGATGACCTAAAGTCTGGACAGTAATGGTCACTATGACGACCTAAAATCTGGACAGTAACGGTCACTATGACGACCTAAAATCTGGACAGTAACGGTCACTATGACGACCTAAAATCTGGACAGTAACAGTCACTATGATGACCTAAAATCTGCACAGTAACTGTCACTATGATGACCTAAATTCAGGACAGTAATGGTCACTATGATGACCTAAAGTCTGGACAGTAATGGTCACTATGACGACCTAAAATCTGGACAGTAACGGTCACTATGACGACCTGAAGTCTGGACAGTAATGGTCACTATGATGACCTAAAGTCTGGACAGTAACGGTCACTATAATGAATAGCTGTGGTATTGATAATACAGGTCAATCTGTGCTGACATCAAGACTTGGATACTCAAGTAAGACCTATTCCAGGCAAGTACACATACTCATCATATCTATTTATAGATATAGACAAAGTATATATAGATACAGTTCATTACAGTTTTAGTATTTGGTTGAATATTTTTGAACAATCAGAAAACCATGAACCTATGAAAATACAGACAACATTAAATGCAATAATTTCTTTCAGAGTCCAGAAATTAAATTATCACAATTTTTAGACTATCAAAATTTTTAATTACCACTATTAAAATATTCAAGTTTAGAAAAATGTTTAGTCCAAAAAAACAAAAAAGATGTTAAAAATAATTTCCAAACAGTTTACAGTACTGATCAAGTTGTATTGAGTGTACTATACGCGGTGTGTTTGCGTGGATTAAGCCTATCTTGAGTATCCCTCGGTATTTTCTAGCCACACCAGTAGGATATAGACAAAAGAACATGTGCTCATTAACCTTTTCCTCCTCGGGAATCTGTACAAGGTAAAAACAAAAGCATGTTTAACCTCTACACCTGTTCCAGAAAACAAACATTTCCACATCCCTGGTTTTGCCGTGACTATCCTCAACTCTCCTGTATTACTGACAAAGACTTTCATCACCCCTTGAATCAAATCCAACTCAAGCTCTGTTTAAGCTCTCCATTGTGAGGAAGCTTAAGCTTGAGCTCAGATTGTGGACAAACTCAAGGCCATGGTGAAAAAAGTCCACATATAGCATGAATTTTTCTTGTCTAATGTATTTTACAGAGATGAACTGTCCCCAGTAAGGCTCCCTTCACACTGTGTTGATCCTGCAGCAGAACTATACCACGTGATAAGCCCACCCATATCTAATGCTGTTTCAGTAGAACTCCTTAGTTTATTTCAGGATAAAAACAGCCCCTTCAATGTCTACCTACATGTTATGAACTTTCACAAATGTTTCTACATCCTAATTGTAAAGACTCTTGTTTTCATACATTACGAGATGACGAAAAGTAGCAAAACCAGAGATGAGGAAAAAATTATCTGTGCAAAGTGCTTTATACTGAGAAGGATTCTTTTTACAATATTTTCTAAAATTGCTGTTACTGGTCATTGTTTTCTATAGAGCTATATATCAGCATTACAATGAACATTGTTTTAAGTCAGATTAAGTCCTGGCCAGTCAAAAAAAAGGTTACAAAAATAATCCTTCTTGACCAGTTGAAAATATTGCATGAGGAAAAAATTCTTTTCAGGACTAAGAAATTTTACAAATTTCAGGTGCAGAAAATAACATGTGAAAAAAATAAATTGATAAGTAAATAAAAAATAAGCCCTTGGCATTTAATGAAACGGGCTCAAAATAAGCTTAGAAACACTAGACTTGAAACTGAATCCTAACATAACTTTATTCTAAAGCATGTTTTTATCTATGAAGAAGCATGTTTTTATGTAGTTTGCCTTATGACCTTTTAAAAGGTCAAAGGTCGAGTCACAAATTGAACATTTTGCTTTGTCATTCTAATTACAGTGCTTCTAACAAATTTGGTTTACGAACATTAATTCTTTCGTACAAACCTTTTCTAACTTTCCCTCTAACAATATTTGATTAAATTATACAGTTCAGGCACATAAATACTATGCTAAGGATACACCACGATTAGTCATTATCAATACTAATATTCCAATGTATCTCAAAAATTTCCATGTTTGGGGAGCAGTGCCCCTGACAACTGTCTGCCACAACGGACACAAAATGCGGAGATAGATCTCCTTACAATAAATCTTCATGATAAACTTAGAGGAATCTATGATATGGATAAAAACATGCAGAAAAGTTTAAAATTGACATCACTTTGAAGGTCTACTCTGTGTGGTATAATTTTGTAACTGACTTAACTCTACTGTTTGAAGGTCTACTCTGTGAGGTATAATTTTGTAACTGACTTAACTCTACTGTTTGAAGGTCTACTCTGTGAGGTATAATTTTGTAACTGACTTAACTCTACTGTTTAACTCTACTGTTTGAAGGTCTACTCTGTGTGGTATAATATTGTAACTGACTCTACGGTTTGAAGGTCTACTCTGTGTGGTATAATATTGTAACTGACTCTACGGTTTGAAGGTCTACTCTGTGTGGTATAATATTGTAACTGACTCTACGGTTTGAAGGTCTACTCTGTGTGGTATAATTTTGAACTTCAATGTTGCCTAGATGTTACTATGTCATATCTAGAACATATGTGTGTACTACGTCATGAAACTTTAATTAATTCAAGTTTTTTTGGGATTTAGAATGAGACTGATTTCCTCCAAATTGACTGTGAACACCACTTGAGAAATAAAACTAAGAAGTTCTTACAAATTCCTAATGAATCTTTTGTTGTCCGATGTAATTAAGTTCAAAAGTCAAATCCATTCATAAAGAATCAGAAACGGGACAAGAAAAAATGAGGAGAAGAAAACCTTCATTCCATGGTTACCTCCCCTTGCCAATTACTATCATATAGGTATCAGAAATATTCATGACGTATTTTACATAGAAATACAATGGTCATTAAGGATTTAATACAAATTTATCTCTACAATCAGTATTTAAGATTTTATAATAATGTTACCTAAAACATATTGACACAGAAATGACAATGAAAGTAATACTTCAACATTCAATGTGATTGATCATTTTTTTTAAGAAACTGATGTCAAAAGTTTGATACAAAATACAACACCACAACAGCATACAGTGAAATCATCAAACAATTAAACACATTACTATGTCAGTGTTCTTATTCACCTTTCTTTTGGCCACCTTTCTCATCCTTTTCTTTCTTCCCTCCTTTAGTTTTGTCATGTTTCTCCTCTTCTTTAGCATCTTTCCCACCCTTACCTTCCTACAACCAGACAGGTTTACAACAGTGATATAAATAGGTGACTAGGGCCAATATTTCTATTGTAAGTAACATGACTAGGGCCAATTTTTCTATTGTAAGGTACATGAACGGGGCCAATTTCTCTATTGTAAGGTACATGAACAGGGCCAATTTTCTATAGTAAGTAACGTGACTAGGGCCAATTTTTCTATTGTAAGGTACATGAACGGGGCCAATTTCTCTATTGTAAGGTACATGAACGGGGCCAATTTTTCTATTGTAAGGTACATGAACAGGGCCAATTTCTCTATTGTAAGGTACATGAACAGGGCCAATTTTCTATTGTAAGTAACGTGACTAGGGCCAATTTTTCTATTGTAAGGTACATGAACGGGGCCAATTTCTCTATTGTAAGGTACATGAACAGGGCCAATTTTCTATTGTAAGTAACGTGACTAGGGTCAATTTTTCTATAGTAAGGTACATGAACGGGGCCAATTTTTCTATTGTAAGGTACATGAACAGGGCCAATTTTTCTATTGTAAGGTACATGAACAGGGCCAATTTTTCTATAGTAAGTAATGTGACTAGGGCCAATTTCTCTATTGTAAGGTACATGAACAGGGCCAATTTTTCTATTGTAAGTGACGTGACTAGGGCCAATTTTTCTATTGTAAGGTACATGAACAAGGCTAATTTTTCTATTGTAAGTAACTTGACTAGGGCCAATTTTTCTATAGTAAGGTACGTGCGTGACTAGGGCCAATTTTTCTATAGTAAGGTACATGATTTCTGGGCCAAACATTGTATTTCATACTGTACACGACCTTGGCCAAACTTTGTATTTGTAATGTACATTACTAGGGCCAAATTTAGTATTACAATATGTGCATAAAAGGCACAAAATTTGTATTGTATAATGTGCATGATGAGGGCCAAACTTTGTAAGATTTTAATCAATATGAAAATAAAGGACCCTTATAATTGAGGTATTTTGATATATCTGAGTAGAGGTTTTCTACATTAGTTCACACCTTCTTTTTTCCAGATGGTTTGCCTGCCTTCTTGTCTTTATCTGCATGTGAACTGCTGCGTACACTTCCGGGGCGGTCCTTAGAGTCTGCCCGTCGACTTGGTGGTGGCTAAGTACATCAAATACAACAAGGTCATAGGAATGCTTCCTAGCATAGGTTTCACATTTATTTATATAGGTAAATAGTTGTAAGTGAAACTGTTAATCTAAGATATGATGAAAATGTGACCAATGGTTACTGACCTACTTTAACAAAACTGTAAAATCTATATTTTTGTGGTGCATAATTTTCATGGTTTTTCCAAAGTTTGCTATTTCATAAACATTTAGCTTCATAGATAACTATAGCTCAATAGGTACAATTCTACTCAATTTAAAAATTCATGGACACATATAAGTATGTGGTTTAAGATCATTCTGGAACTCAACCAAAAAAAACTCCACACAAAAATTAATCATTCTACAGTAATCTCGAATCTCTTCTGATTTAAAGAAAACATTGATTAACCCAAGTGTTTTCTTGACTTGTTTATATTTGTATCTGGAAAGTCCTTTCTCTGAAGTCTAATCATCCACTTACTGATTTATTTCTGTCTGGGGAACCTTTTTCTGAGAACTGTTTCCGTCGCTCTACAACTTCTTCATGTGAAAGAGGAAATCTAGATAGTACCTATCAACAAAAACATAATTTAGAATTAAGTTCCCAGATCATACAAGTATAAAAAAACTACAATATTCTAAAACAATATCAACAATATTCTTTTACAAGGAAACAATATAAATACATTGTCAACAACATAAATACATTGTCAACAACATAAAAACATTGTCAACAACATAAATACATTGTCAACAAAATAAAAACATTGTGAACAACATAAATACATTGTCAACAAAATAAAAACATTGTCAACAACATAAATACATTGTCAACAAAAACAATACATTGTTAACAACATAAATACATTGTCAACAACATAAATACATTGTCAACAATATAAATACATTGTCAACAACATAAAATACATTGTCAACAATATAAATACATTGTCAACAATATAAATACATTGTCAACAACATGAAATACATTGTCAACAAAAACAATACATTGTTAACAACATAAATACATTGTCAACAAAATAAAAACATTGTCAACAACATAAATACATTGTCAACAATATAAATACATTGTCAACAACATAAATACATTGTCAACAATATAAATACATTGTCAACAACATAAAATACATTGTCAACAATATAAATACATTGTCAACAATATAAAATACATTGTCAACAATATAAATACATTGTCAAAAATATAAAATACATTGTCAACAAAATAAAAACATTGTCAACAACATAAATACATTGTCAACAACATAAATACATTGTCAACAATATAAATACATTGTCAACCACATAAAATACATTGTCAACAATATAAATACATTGTCAACAATATAAATACATTGTCAATTATATAAAATACATTGTTAACAACATAAATACATTGTCAACAATATAAATACATTGTAAACAACATAAAAACATTGTCAACAATATAAAGACATTGTGGAACAATACATTGTCAACAATATAAAGACATTGTCAATACATTGTCAACAATATACAATACATTGTCAACAACATAAAATACATTGTCAACAATATAAATACATTGTAAACAACATAAAAACATTGTCAACAATATAAAGACATTGTCAATACATTGTCAACAATATAAAGACATTGTCAATACATTGTCAACAATATAAAATACATTGTCAACAATATAAAGACATTGTCAATATTCTAATGTGAAGTACATTGCTAAATAATAATGCCCTAAATGTACTAAAATTTCCCATTTTATTAAAAAATAAATCTGACCTTTGTCTTGATAAAGAATTATAATGTGCTTACCTCCCCCAACTTTATAGCACCGTTATCTCCGATTTGATTGGATGCCATAGACAGTGACATCAGAGTCCTATTCATTCGAAGTCCCTGAATGAAATTGTACAAAAAAAGCTGATTTTCTCGAAGTTTAAATGACCTCCATTATAACCATGTAAAATATGTGTAACCTAGGAACCAACAGGTACAGGTAACATAATCATGTAACTTTACAAATAAAACGAGATGTATAGATTTAACTGTAGTATAATACAGGCCAACTAGGAGAGCATCTAAACTGTTACATGATTTCTTATAAAATATTTATTTATCCATTTGATAAAGATATCTTATGCTAAGTTTATCAACTTCTTATTTATAATATGTTACCATAGCAATGTGTTCTGCACCAACATCACCAATCATGTTGCCGGCTAGGTTGAGGGAGATGAGTTTCATGTTAGCCTTCTTGATGTTACCGAGAGCTCCCCCTATAGACTGTGCCCCCTTATTTGTGATACCACAGTGTCTGAGCGACAGGTTCTGGAGTCTGGTCAAAACAAGGTGCACCATTACATTTTGGAAATGTTGATCAGATAGAGGTGTGTGGGAGAATGGTAAACTGTTGATCAGAGATGTGGGACAATGGTAAACTGTTGATCAGAAGTGTGGGACAATGGTATACTGTTGATCAGATAGAGGTGTGTGGGACAATGGTATACTGTTGATCAGATATGTGGGACAATGGTATACTGTTGATCAGAGATGTGGGACAATGTTATACTGTTGATCAGAGATGTGGGACAATGGTAAACTGTTGATCAGATAGAGGTGTGTGGGACAATGGTAAACTGTTGATCAAAGATGTGGGACAATGTTATACTGTTGATCAGAGATGTGGGACAATGGTAAACTGTTGATCAGATAGAGGTGTGTGGGACAATGGTAAACTGTTGATCAGAGATGTGGGACAATGGTAAACTGTTGATCAGAGATGTGGGACAATGGTAAACTGTTGATCAGAGATGTGGGACAATGGTATACTGTTGATCAGAGATGTGGGACAATGGTAAACTGTTGATCAGAGATGTGGGACAATGGTATACTGTTGATCAGAGATGTGGGACAATGGTATACTGTTGATCAGATAGAGGTGTGTGGGACAATGGTATACTGTTGATCAGAGATGTGGGACAATGGTATACTGTTGATCAGAGATGTGGGACAATGGTATATTGTTGATCAGATAGAGGTGTGTGGGACAATGGTATACTGTTGATCAGAGATGTGGGACAATGGTATACTGTTGATCAGATATGTGGGACAATGGTATACTGTTGATCAGAGATGTGGGACAATGGTATACTGTTGATCAGAGATGTGGGACAATGGTAAACTGTTGATTAGAGAAGTGGGACAATGGTAAACTGTTGATCAGAGATGTGGGACAATGGTAAACTGTTGATCAGAGATGTGGGACAATGGTGTACTGTTGATCAGAGATGTGGGACAATGGTATACTGTTGATCAGATATGTGGGACAATGGTGTACTGTTGATCAGAGATGTGGGACAATGGTATACTGTTGATCAGATATGTGGGACAATGGTATACTGTTGATCAGAGATGTGGGACAATGGTATACTGTTGATGATGTGGGACAATGGTAAACTGTTGATTAGAGAAGTGGGACAATGGTAAACTGTTGATCAGAGATGTGGGACAATGGTAAACTGTTGATCAGAGATGTGGGACAATGGTGTACTGTTGATCAGAGATGTGGGACAATGGTATACTGTTGATCAGATATGTGGGACAATGGTGTACTGTTGATCAGAGATGTGGGACAATGGTATACTGTTGATCAGAGATGTGGGACAATGGTGGGACAATGGTATACTGTTGATCAGAGATGTGGGACAATGGTATACTGTTGATCAGAGATGTGGGACAATGGTATACTGTTGATCAGAGATGTGGGACAATGGTAAACTGTTGATCAGAGATGTGGGACAATGGTATACTGTTGATCAGAGATGTGGGACAATGGTATACTGTTGATCAGAGATGTGGGACAATGGTATACTGTTGATCAGAGATGTGGGACAATGGTGTACTGTTGATCAGAGATGTGGGACAATGGTATATTGTTGATCAGATTTGGGACAATGGTGTACTATTGATCAGAAATGTAGAAAAAGGGATAATATTATGGAATTATAACAGTAATACATTATAACAGTAACACATTATGACAATAATACATTATAACAGTAACACATTATGACAGTAACACATTATGACAGTAACACATGACAATAATACATTATGACAGTAACACATTATGACAGTAACACATTATGACAATAACACATTATGACAGTAACACATTATGACAATAATACATTATGACAGTAACACATTATGACAATAATACATTATGACAGTAACACATTATGACAATAACACATTATGACAGTGATACATTATAACACTTATTATGACAGTAAAAATACTGGTAGTTAATGCAGCCCAATATATTTAGGGTGAAAGAAGTTGAACAACTTACGGACTTTCTTCACTCATCAGTTCATGCCAGTTCTCTGCTGCCACACAGTTACCATCCAGTATCAGTGTTCTAGGTAAATACATAGTGGTAAAGCATTGATACACTGGTTATTGTATCTACAAGAGTGGAGGTATGGGCCACTCCAACAAGGCAACAAAGTAAATTTAGTATTATAAGGAACAAGGCATTTTTTTAATCCTGAAATTGAAATTTTAGAATTTTTTTCTTTACTTTAAATATTAACCTGTGTGTGAGCATGTTCTCCTGTACTATTGTGTCATCAGACGTTACCTTAGCTTGAATCTTACTGGGAGACATAAAGTATCTCTAAAAACTGAGAATTAATCCCAAAGATTGTATAAATCAAAAGGTACCTGAGGTTGACGATGTTGGGAATACAGTGAGCCATCATGGTGACTGTCTCTCCTGTCAGGCCAGTGTTCCACAGACTAAACAGAAACCAAAAACATCTCACAAGTTATAGTGTCAGGCCAGTGTTCTACAGACTAAACAGACACCACAAGTTATAGTGTCAGGCCAGTGTTCCACAGACTAAACAGACACCACAAGTTATAGTGTCAGGCCAGTGTTCTACAGACTAAACAGACACCACAAGTTATAGTGTCAAGTCAGTGTTCTACAGACTAAACAGACACCACAAGTTATAGTGTCAGGCCAGTGTTCTTCAGACTAAACAGACACCACAAGTTATAGTGTCAGGCCAGTGTTCTTCAGACTAAACAGACACCACAAGTTATAGTGTCAGGCCAGTGTTCCACAGACTAAACAGAAACCAAAAACATCTCACAAGTTATAGTGTCAAGTCAGTGTTCTACAGACTAAACAGACACCACAAGTTATAGTGTCAAGTCAGTGTTCTACAGACTAAACAGACACCACAAGTTATAGTGTCAGGCCAGTGTTCCACAGACTAAACAGAAACCAGAAACATCTCACAAGTTATAGTGTCAAGTCAGTGTTCCACAGACTAAACAGAAACCAAAAACATCTCACAAGTTATAGTGTCAGGCCAGTGTTCCACAGACTAAACAGAAACCAAAAACATCTCACAAGTTATAGTGTCAAGTCAGTGTTCTACAGAATAAACAGAAACCAAAAACATCTCACAAGTTATAGTGTCAGGCCAGTGTTCCACAGACTAAACAGAAACCAAAAACATCTCAAAAGTTAAAGTGTCAAGTCAGTGTTCCACAGACTAAACAGAAACCAAAAACATCTCACAAGTTATAGTGTCAGGCCAGTGTTCCACAGACTAAACAGAAACCAAAAACATCTCAAAAGTTAAAGTGTCAAGTCAGTGTTCCACAGACTAAACAGAAACCAAAAACATCTCACAAGTTATAGTGTCAGGTCAGTGTTCCACAGACTAAACAGAAACCAAAAACATCTCAAAAGTTAAAGTGTCAAGTCAGTGTTCCACAGACTAAACAGAAACCAAAAACATCTCACAAGTTATAGTGTCAAGTCAGTGTTCTACAGACTAAACAGACACCACAAGTTATAGTGTCAGGCCAGTGTTCCACAGACTAAACAGAAACCAGAAACATCTCACAAGTTATAGTGTCAAGTCAGTGTTCTACAGACTAAACAGACACCACAAGTTATAGTGTCAGGCCAGTGTTCCACAGACTAAACAGAAACCAAAAACATCTCACAAGTTATAGTGTCAGGCCAGTGTTCCACAGACTAAACAGAAACAAAAAACATCTCACAAGTTATAGTGTCAAGTCAGTGTTCCACAGACTAAACAGACACCACAAGTTATAGTGTCAGGCCAGTGTTCCACAGACTAAACAGAAACAAAAAACATCTCACAAGTTATAGTGTCAAGTCAGTGTTCCACAGACTAAACAGAAACAAAAAACATCTCACAAGTTATAGTGTCAAGTCAGTGTTCTACAGACTAAACAGACACCACAAGTTATAGTGTCAGGCCAGTGTTCCACAGACTAAACAGAAACCAAAAACATCTCAAAAGTTAAAGTGTCAAGTCAGTGTTCTACAGAATAAACAGAAACCAGAAACATCTCACAAGTTAAAGTGTCAAGTCAGTGTTCCACAGACTAAACAGAAACCAAAAACATCTCACAAGTTATAGTGTCAGGCCAGTGTTCCACAGACTAAACAGAAACCAAAAACATCTCACAAGTTATAGTGTCAGGCCAGTGTTCCACAGACTAAACAGAAACCAAAAACATCTCACAAGTTATAGTGTCAAGTCAGTGTTCCACAGACTAAACAGAAACCAAAAACATCTCACAAGTTATAGTGTCAAGTCAGTGTTCTACAGACTGTTCTACAGACTAAACAGACACCACAAGTTATAGTGTCAGGTCAGTGTTCCACAGACTAAACAGAAACCAAAAACATCTCAAAAGTTAAAGTGTCAAGTCAGTGTTCCACAGACTAAACAGACACCACAAGTTATAGTGTACAGACTAAACAGACACCACAAGTTATAGTGTCAGGCCAGTGTTCCACAGACTAAACAGAAACCAAAAACATCTCAAAAGTTATAGTGTCAAGTCAGTGTTCTTCAGACTAAACAGAAACCAGAAACATCTCACAAGTTATAGTGTCAAGTCAGTGTTCTACAGACTAAACAGACACCACAAGTTATAGTGTCAAGTCAGTGTTCTACAGACTAAACAGAAACCAAAAACATCTCAAAAGTTATAGTGTCAAGTCAGTGTTCTACAGACTAAACAGACACCACAAGTTTAGTGTCTAGTCAGTGTTCTACAGACTAAACAGACACCACAAGTTATAGTGTCAAGTCAGTGTTCTACAGACTAAACAGAAACCAAAAACATCTCAAAAGTTATAGTGTCAAGTCAGTGTTCTACAGACTAAACAGACACCACAAGTTTAGTGTCAAGTCAGTGTTCTACAGACTAAACAGACACCACAAGTTATAGTGTCAAGTCAGTGTTCTACAGACTAAACAGACACCACAAGTTATAGTGTCAAGTCAGTGTTCTACAGACTAAACAGACACCACAAGTTATAGTGTCAAGTCAGTGTTCTACAGACTAAACAGACACCACAAGTTATAGTGTCAAGTCAGTGTTCTACAGACTAAACAGACACCACAAGTTATAGTGTCAAGTCAGTGTTCTACAGACTAAACAGAAACCAGAAACATCTCACAAGTTATAGATTAACTAGGTTTTCAAGCTCTTGTCCAAACACTGTAAACTGATCTGTTGACTGGGAGCTCCCAGGGACTTGACAGCTGATCTGTTGACTGGGAGCTCCCAGGGACTTGACAGCTGATCTGTTGACTGGGAGCTTCCTTTGGACATGACTGCTGATCTGTGGACTGGGAGCTCCCAGGGACACGACAGCTGATCTGTGGACTGGAAGCTCCCAGGGACATGGCAGCTGATCTGTGGACTGGGAGCTCCCAGGGACACAACAACTGATCTGTGACTGGGAGCTCCCAGGGACACGACAGCTGATCTGTGGACTGGGAGCTCCCAGGGACTTGACTGCTGATCTGTGGGCTGGGAGCTGCCAGGGACACGGCAGCTGATCTGTGGACTGGGAGCTCCCAGGGACACGGCAGCTGATCTGTGGACTGGGAGCTCCCAGGGACATAACAGCTGATCTGTGGACTGGGAGCTCCCAGGGACTTGACAGCTGATCTGTGGACTGGGAGCTCCCAGGGACACAACAGCCGATCTGTGGACTGGGAGCTCCCAGGGACACGACTGCTGATCTGTGGACTGGGAGCTGCAAGGGACACGGCAGCTGATCTGGACTGGGAGCTCCCAGGGACACGACTGCTGATCTGTGGACTGGGAGCTGCAAGGGACACGGCAGCTGATCTGTGGACTGGGAGCTCCCAGGGACACGGCAGCTGATTTGTGGACTGGGAGCTCCCAGGGACACGGCAGCTGATCTGTGGACTGGGAGCTCCCAGGGACACGGCAGCTGATTTGTGGACTGGGAGCTCCCAGGGACACGACTGCTGATCTGCGGACTGGGAGCTCCCAGGGACACGGCAGCTGATCTGTGGACTGGGAGCTCCCAGGGACACGGCAGCTGATCTGTGGACTGGGAGCTCCCAGGGACACGGCAGCTGATCTGTGGACTGGGTCGACAGCTGATTTTTACAGCCTCATATCCCCAAATTAAAATGTGTTATTTTTTTGAGAATGAAGAGAAAAATCACATATATTGATAGAATTACAAATCAAAACTATTTTTACTCAAAAATGAAAGAAAAAGAAAATCGCAAATCAGCATGGTGATTATAAGGTCTAAGGGGAGGTAACTCACTTGATTGTGTGGAGTTTCTCCATAACAGGCCAGCACTGGGCAAACGTAGACATCATCGCTTCATCAATCTTCCAACCTGTCAACGACGTCAAGTTGACTTTGTATTAGGATGTAAATAAAGTAACACTTATCTTCCTCAGTTTAATTATTACGGAACTATGATGATATTAGTGACATCACTGTAACAGGTGTGTCGACATATCACTAACATTATGTATATTAATTATTACGAAACTATGATGATATTAGTGACATTACAGTTACAGGTGTGCCAACATGTCAATAACATTATTTATATCAATGGGTTAAGACATTCAGCGGTGAATTTGCCAGCGTAACATTTCTGGGTATTTATCACTATTCATACCCGGGATCGATTTTCATTCTCAATTGAAATTGATTAAGATCTCATAATATGAACAAAGAAATTATATCATGAATTAAAAACGGCTGACTCTCTTTGATCTTGTCCTTCACACGTTTATTGCAAATCTTGTCTTTATGTAAATTTTCTGAATTATGTGATCAAACGTCTTTTAACATTGTTTTTACGTATTAGATTTTATAAAACTTTTATCTAAGTTTTAATTTGTGTGAGACAAGGCTCATCAATATAAAAACTAGAAAGACTTAATTGTTTCATAAAAAGTCATACCAAATGAAAACTCAATTAAAATCCTGTATATCTATATATATCTATGTATATAGACGTAACTTAAAAATGCTCTGGATATCGATAAAAAATTTGAAAAGAATTAAATCAACATGACAAATGTATTCCACTAACGTTCTCAGACCTAACGGTCATCTTCAGGCAATGCATTTATTATAACATCTTGGTAACGACATTGTGACGTCATACATAATACATAAGAGAAGGGGAGATAACATTATCTTTGGCAGTATACTGACATTACATTTATGTCCGTTTGTTATTAATGAAATATGTGTAAACAATTTTTTCAAAACATTAACTAGCATTGAGAGCCGGTTTAGATATTTCGACAAACATTTCCTCTTTATATCGCCTTTTTGTCGCACCCGAATCGGCCATTTTGTAAAAAGGAAAAATAAAAAAAATGTTCCTTATGTATACCTCTGATGAAAATTTCGGTGACTGTGTCTGGTTTGTCATAGTTCTCCATCTCTACTTGGACAGAGGGTTTAAAATATTCAAATTTCTCCTTCAACACAAAGGTCTTCGGTGGTGGTTCAACTGGTTCTGTTCATAAAGGGGGAAAAATAGATAAAAAAATTGAAGGTAAAACAAAGACAAAATCAACAAATGTTTGATATTAACTTTTTATACTGTACAGTAATTTGCTGAACTTTCATTTCTAAAATTCTTAATTTTAAAGTGATTTTTTTTTTATACAACTGAAGAACACTTAAGTACAATATTCCATATTTCAACTCGGTTTTTTATGTCCAATTTAAATCTTTTAAAAAAAAGAAAAAGAAATTAAAAATTGTGAAGTAAACAATATATACCACCTATATTAAAAACATGATTTTTAAACAGACAAATGAATTCCAAAACTTCATATCTAATATATCTCTGTTGACTAGATTTCAAAAATATGGTGTTCTCTTCTATATGCCTTCCCAGGAATTTTCCTTCATTTATTTAATTTTCTATTTTGTTTGAAGTTTAACAGAAGTTTTACCAAAAAAAAAGAATTTCTGCAACTATATATACCATAAAATAACCTTGGAGCTACAAATAAAAAATATCTTAACTTTAAATACCTATATATGTAGTCAAAAAATACTTACAGCTCCAAACAATCTCTCTAAACATTTACATTCAAAATCACTGTAACTTTATATGAAATATCCCTCTAAATTTAATGATATGAAAGAAATCTATTGTGGTTTATGAAATATCTCAATAGATCTATTGAAATATCTCTAGAACAATTAATATGAAATATTGCTTAACACAAACTATCTATATCTAACATTATCCCTTTATAGTAAATATCTCCATCATACTTCTACAAACAATATCTTTGTAACTCTATAGACTAAGTATACAGGATTGTAACACATCTATCTACAGCCAGGTGGTGGGTATGAGTAGATTAATTGACTAAATACATTAGATATATAGTGCATATAGAAATACACACTGTAGCAGTCTAACATCGTTTAAGTAACAAACATATATTTGTTATACACAAAATACATATCGCTGACAAACCAACACTTAAAGCCGCAACATCTCGGACACTCTCTCTTGCTCCTAACCTAACAGAGTTTTGGGCCAGCTACAACAAACCATTCTAACTAATTAAATGAATTAAATAAAGATAGGAAGTGTTAGAAAATCGTGAATAAAGATACTGCTGGAAATTCCTTATAAACGATTCATGCCACAAAAGCCATTGTTTTTGTGATAGTAAGATAAGCTAAATGTACAAAGGAAGTCGTAAAAATTTGGTAAGACATTTGTAATTTTTGTTTACATAAAATTTGAAGGTAAAATTATCAGGTTAATATAAATTTTTCTTCTTGTAAAAATATAAAATGACAGATTGTCAAAAATTTAGTAAGTAAAATAGTTAATGTACAAAGTAAAATCAAAACTTTTTAATTAAACATTTAGCAGAACAAATTTGAAAAATTTAATTTTATTAAAAATGTGACAGGTAAAAATAGATAATTCTAAATTCTTGATTACAATAATTTACATGTTTGTAATACTTATTGATGTTAGGTAAGTATATATATCTACATACTACCTACATGTAACAACAACAACAATATATAACACATCATTAATACATATATACAAACAACACTTACATCTACATACAGGAAACTTGACTTATTTGTGAATTATTTAAAAGCATTAATTTTATACACTTACGTGATAAAAGTGTTTCAAATTTGTTTCTGATACTCAGGATGTATTTTTCGATTATAATGCTTCACTTTTAATTTTCTTACAAAAAATGTTAAAGACCTGACAGGTTTGTAGAAGTTAGGATAGACAAGTATGCTATAGTTACTGAGCTAGAAAAGTTCTCTGTATTTAAGAAGTAGAATTGTATGCTACAGATCAGATCATTCAAATATGAAACACAGATATCACAGGCTATTTCAACCCATACAGTGTCTCTGTATCACACAGCTGTAATCTCCATCACCAACACAGCACTTCACCCTGATATAATTCATACTGACCTCTGTATAATCCATTCTGACCTCTGTATAATCTATACTGACCTCTGTATAATCCATACTGACCTTTGTATAATCCATACTGACCTCTGTATAATCCATACTGACCTCTGTATAATCCATACTGACCTCTGTATAATCCATACTGACCTCTGTATAATCCATTCTGACCTCTGTATAATCCATACTGACCTCTGTATAATCCATATTGACCTCTGTATAATCCCTACTGACCTCTGTATAATCCATTCTGACATCTGTATAATTTATACTGACCTCTATATAATCCATACTGACCTTTGTATAATCCATACTGACCTCTGTATAATCCATTCTGACCTCTGTATAATCCATACTGACCTCTGTATAATCACTACTGACCTCTGTTTGGGCTTCATTTACCCAATAATCCCTATAAGGGATCCGACTTTTCACTCACATTAGGAGAGCCCTATAAGGGATCCCACTTTTACTCACATTAGGAGAGCCCTATAAGGGATCCCATTTTTTACTCACATTAGGAGAGCCCTATATGGGATCCCATTTTTTACTCACATTAGAAGAGCCCTATAAGGGATCCCATTTTTTACTCACATTAGGAGAGCCCTATAAGGGATCCCATTTTTTACTCATATTAGGAAAGCCCTATAAGGGATCCCATTTTTTACTCACATTAGAGGAGCCCTATAAGGGATCCCATTTTTTACTCACATTAGGAGAGCCCTATAAGGGATCCCATTTTTTACTCACATTAGGAGAGCCCTATAAGGGATCCCACTTTTCATTCTACATTAGGAGAGCCCTATAAGGGATCCCACTTTTTACTCACATTAGGAGAGCCCTATAAGGGATCCCATTTTTTACTATACATAAGGAGAGCCCCGACTTAATTATGATTGGGAGAACTCGGACTGGGATTTCTTCATTTAATCAACACTAAGTTGGCTGTCTTCCATATCACCTTATCTATCAACATTAGGAAATCTATCTTTATTAAATCATAGAAATTCCACTGTAATTTCTACTGTATCTATGCAACATTAAGAGATCTCCCTCAGGGATTTCTGCATCCACTCAACCGTTAAAATCCCTTCTGGACCTCACTCTACATTTATAAATCTATAACTTCAATCTCTCCACTAAACATGGACAATTCTTAAAATATCAGACCACATAGAGGAATCTGAAAATCACACCAGCTAAACCTGGTACATCTAAAATTGTGTTTTTACAAATTTTCATGAATTCAAATATGTGCAAAAGAAAATGTTCTTCTTAGCCGTAAGAAATTTATCTGTTTCTACTTAATTCATTTACATATTTTCCGCTTGATTAGATATTAATGTTAGCATCACATCAATCTACCCACCACCTTCCATTAATTCTGGATCAGGTTCCACCTCCGACTGCTGCTGTTGTGCACTTGTCTTGCCTTTTTCTTTGCCCTTTTCAGGTTTTGAACTTTCAACTTGTGACTGCGAGGTCGGAGGTCGTGCCCTGTGAACAACTGGAGGAATGACAGCCATATTGCTTCTCTTGCATAGCTCTGTAAAATCGGCTAGGAAATTTCCTGTACAGCTGTATGGCTCTGTTATAAAAAAAACAAACAAACAAAAAAAAAACATCAATACATAGATTCCTTCACAATATATAGTACATTTAATTACACTTCAATTCTGAATGACAATCATCACAAAGGAAGACTAGGCCTGATAGGATATTTCACCATCTTGGAACTTAAACCTTTCCCAAGGGTTGAGATCACCCTATTACACCTCCACGGGAGTGAATGATTGTTTATCTCTAACCCTGATCACTTTATAAGGTACTTGTATGTGTTTAGGCTTGTGCAAATACTTCACATCACTGACATGATTGAACTGTTGACATGACGTCATATCAATGTGCTGATGGGGAGTTCCCCTGTCTCAACACTAGGGTGAGACAAAGAAATCTAACACCATTACACAGCATGGATTTACCAGTCCAGGGTGAGAGGAAATCACATCCCAGTCTGAGATCTCTGATCAGCGGGAATTTTATCTTGATTTTTGTTAATTCTTATACAGCTGCTTTTCATACCTGGAGTTTTATTTGGATCATCTTCGTCCTGGCTGACAGCCGATTGATTTTTCTCCTTGAGGGATTTTTCCACCTTCTTCCCCATCTTCACACGGTTGGCGATTCTAGTGACAAGAAAAAACACAACAATGGTTAAACTACAAATTGTAATTTTACTCAATTTATCTTGGACAAAAGAAATTTGGTAAAAGTGTGATAAAGTAATTATATCTTATACAAGTGGTATGGTTTCATCCTTACATACTAAACTTTAGTTTTTTTTTTACTTATCTGACTTGAGAACTAATGAAATCTAACAGTCATGCTCACATTCAGATTGTATTTAACATAAGTAATTGTATGTCTATTATATCAACTTGTCTAGTCTGACACTACAACAGATTACTAAACATAGGTTAAGGTCAATATTTAAGTCATAGTTATAACCTGTCTCATCCTATAACAAAAGGACTACAACAAATCCATGGATAAGCCTGTCTAATCTATGAGTACAAGTCACTTGGCACTCACATGCAGATTTATCATTGATCATATAAATAATACTTGTTAACTTGCGGTCAGATTAGACAGGATGTTGGAATACTTAGGGGTCAGATTAGACAGGGTATTGGAATACTTAGGGGTCAGATTAGACAGGGTATTGGAATACTTAGGGGTCAGATTAGACAGGGTGTTGGAATACTTGTGGTCAGATTAGATTGGGTGTTGGAATACTTAGGGGTCAGATTAGACAGGGTATTGGAATACTTGGGGTCAGATTAGACAGGGTATTGGAATACTTGGGGTCAGATTAGACAGGGTATTGGAATACTTGGGGTCAGATTAGACAGGGTATTGGAATACTTGGGGTCAGATTAGACAGGGTGTTGGAATACTAATGAGTCAGATTAGACAGGGTATTGGAATACTTAGGGGTCAGATTAGACAGGGTGTGGGAATACTTGGGGTCAGATTAGATTGGGTGTTGGAATACTTAGGGGTCAGATTAGACAGGGTATTGGAATACTTAGGGGTCAGATTAGACAGGGTGTTGGAATACTTAGGGGTCAGATTAGACAGGGTGTTGGAATACTTGGGGTCAGATTAGACAGGGTATTGGAATACTTGGGGTCAGATTAGACAGGGTGTTGGAATATTTGGGGTCAGATTAAATGGGGTGTTGGAATATTTGGGGTCGGATAAGACAGGGTGTTGGAATATTTGGGAGTCAGGTAAGACAGGTTACACTAACAGCAGCAACAGCTGGGTCAAACTTCAATCTGAAACAGGAACTTTCAAATGATAAAGGTTAGTAAATATATCAATAAGGGCAAAGCCCATAAGACTATCATTGACAAAAGGAACTTTGTAAATTAATGTAGAGTGACCCATCGGCATCTACTGTACAGTGCTGTAGTTCCTTACTCCTTCTTTGTAAAGTCTATAGCAAAGAAAATGACTTGTAAGTTTTATTGATAAGATCCCACACACCAAGGAGACATACCTGAAGAACCTTAGAACTATTTGTTACATATACATTAATACATAGATTTTCCACTATGTTACCACATCAGTAATCAATATACAATTTATTTGTAGGAGTTCTTTTCAACTTTATTGCTAAAAGCAATGGGTCCCACAATGTAAAATTTAAGTATTTCCAGAAATTCTATGAGTCCCGTCAAAATTCTATTAGTACAGAACTCTGGACTCGTGAGTAGATTGATCAATGCCATATACTCAGATAAGACAATCTGAAAGTCTTCTGGTCGTACAAATGAAAACAGCTTGTACTCAAGGTTTGTATAACAAACTGTTTTTTTATCATGTGGTAACATTAGTGAAATGAGTAGAGAGCCTCACCCTTCTTCAGCCTCACCTATTCATGGCTGCTATTTTGTCAAAAATGTAAAAATTTCAAATATTTCAAAATATATTTTTCAGACAAATAATTACAATTGCCTGATAGTAGCTCACTGAAATGACAGACCTAGTTTTCCTTACTTCATCAACATGTAAGTTCAAATTTGTTTAGTTTTAAATGTATATCAACTCCTGTAGGTTATCAGTTTCACAAACCAAAACCAAATCTCCAGATTTTTTCATTCGAAAACAAGTTTAAAGGAGCAGTAATACAATAAATCATCGCATGCTTTTATTTTCTTTGATATAAAATCAGATGTTTTATAAAAAAAAACTTGTTTCGTCTCATCACAAAATTTGTGTAACAATCCAGGAGTATACAATCTCATACTAAGAAAAGTGAAAACATTTCCAGTTAACCATTTTAATTTTTATATTTTATAAGAGATAGAGAAAAAGTTTGCCAGCCTATCTCACTAACCATGGTAAACCATTGGCTGATATTACACACTGTAGCTTTATATCATAAAAGAAATTACTAAATAGTTGTGACTGAACTATCAGCATTTTCGACCTCACAAATTCATTCTTCTAAACTATCATTTCTATAGACATAAAGTAAACAAATAGCGACCATGCCAGCATTATTAGGTGTAGAATGTTAAATTGTGTCAACTTCTAAAAAACTATAACATTATATTACTAATTTCCCTCAAACTTAAGTAAGAATCACTTTTACAAACAAACATCTTTGAAAACAGAAACAGTATAATCAGTCAAGAAGAATGTGAATCAAACTACTACCTCGATAATTAATACCAGTCAAATTCCCGTAAAGGGAAATAAAAATCATACTTCAGTTATTACCGTTTCTAATTTCATATTCCTGTGATGTGAAATAATCATTCAACCAAAAGCATGTTCTAAATTTTGTCATAGAATTAAATGACCATATTTCATAATTAAATACAAGGAGAATGAACCACTAGCATAATTAGGTTTTTTTTCTTCATTTTTTTCATCAGAACTTAATTCTATATTGAAGGTTTTGGTAAAATACAATAATGTGAAAAAAAACTGATTATTTTTTTAAAAAATAATATGTTGTATAATTCCGAAAGTTTCCAATTTACTTCAATAACAGTGGTGATATTTGTGTTGTTTTATCTGTACACACCTCTTATTCATCTCTTTACTTAGTACAATTTGTGTTAACAGTAAAGTTTAATCAAATGATTCTTGCTTATTTCCATTTTTTCTACAGAATTTGAAATAAACAAAATAAAATTTTCAATTTTTACCCCACAGCAATCATCTTGATGTTTCACCTACAATACAAGGTCTGCAGTAATATCAGATGCTTCAGGATCTGAAGACTCATACAGAAAGTTTGTATTACTGATACCACTGACAATTAATGTAAACAATGAGATTGACAGCCACAGAATCAAAGAGGACCAATCAACATGATATACTCCCACTCTTCACTACCTTTATCTGTGTAAAACTTCCTGAACAGGAGAAAAAATAAAATGCATCCTGTTGCGAATATGAAAGAAACAGGGACTCATATAAATGTACTATTGAACAAATATTATGCATGAGTGAAAAATGTGTAAATTCAAATGACAGATTATCTGTAGAATTCTTTATTTGTTTATTTGGTGACAGAGTATCCTGTTCTTTTTCTGGTCTCAACGCCAACCGTTAGAGATTTTTTTTTTTTTTTTTTGATAAATCATGCACTGACAATGTGTTAATCACACCAATCTGATCACTGTTTATTATTTTGAAATATAAATTAAAAGAAAAATGTATACACTAAGAATTGATTTTGGCCAAACACTACATCAATATTTAACGGAATGGTGTGAAATCTAGGTGTTGTACTGCAGTATATAAGTTACTGGTCTCGTGTGGACGTCGAACCTCGCAGACTATAGAAATCTCGCGCTACTTTGCGATACAGTAAAGTGCTGGACAACAGAACGGTTTTAATTGTTGGGTCGGCAGCATGGATTTGAGAGATATGTCGCCGACAATGCTGTCCACACAAACATATCTACCAACATGCAATGCAATAGTTTACATTGTAAACATGATACATATTCATTCAAAGTCGAATGTTGTGATGACAATAATCTTTTCTTATCGAATATTTTTTTTCTGACAACAGGTTCATAACATCTTTATAAACAACTGCACATGAACAGTAGTGGTTCTTAACATATTACTTAGTAATAACACCAATATAACGGCATTTATCACTATGTCACTTTTTTCACTTACCCGAAAAATCTGCGACCTAATCACCGTGTGATTACAAGACGACGGATGTAAAATCGCGATAGAAAAAGAAGAGATAGGCTATGTACTATTTTTCAATATTAACTTCTTTATTACTATATTTACATATTGCTGTATATTTTGATTCGTTTTACATCTTGTTTACTACTTCAAATATACAAAAAATTACAAACAGATGAGTTCTTTGTTATATATTCTTACGCGTAGAGTGAACAACTAATGCGCATGTGATGTTGTGAACTGAACAATCTACTTCCTGTTTACCCTGACAACACGTGCCAACGTTCGAACTGACACCGTTCATTCACTTGCCAACGATACGGACTTAATTGATATAACTACGGTAGTGTGCTACAAAACATGCCAACGAACAAATAGACTAATAATTGAGGTTTCTTTATATCTAGACAAAATATCTAACAAAAAGTTTTCCCGAGTTTCAGTAAAACACAACTAGTTCTGATTTTAGTCAATTATTTAACCAGACGTCGTTCACGTGCTCCAATGGAGCCTGTTACCTTATACTCCACATGTAACGCACAAACTCTGAAACGGTTGCTTCGTTTCTCAGAATTTAAACAACTTAAATTACTTATGATCTACAATCGAGTTTTTCACTTTAAAGCGATATCATTGCACTTAATATTTATATAACAATCAACAATTACATACTTTAATATGTTATCTATGTCAACAGATATCATACATCTACTGCACAATATAGAAATACTTTAAAATATTCAAATCAAACAAGAACAGAATTTTTGAAATATTTGAGTGGGTATATGTGTATAGTTGAGTATATATGTGTATTGTAGTGTATTTTTGTATAGAAGAGTTTATTTTAATATATTTGAGTGTATTTTATTTTTAAGCATATTAGAATGTATCTAAGTAAAAAGTCCTGCCCAGAACCACCCAGTATATACAATGTAGATATAGTATATCTAATAAAAC